TGTATTGTAGTTCAGACTGTAATCAATGCAATATCTGGTTTAATGTTATAAAGAAACAACCACAAGGTCCATCTGACTCAGCATTTTGAAATGAGAAGATAAGATAAAAATCCACGCACTTTCTGTTTCATGTAATAATTAAGATATGTTAATTATTTAAAATTAGTCGATGATTAGTAAAACCGCTTGATTCTTATCAAAGATCACTATAAAAATTGCAATGAATTAATAACCCATTACAGCATTGATTCTGATATAAGAATCTATTGATATTTTAATAAAAACAATTAATATTGTGATTTTTTAAAATTACAGTAAAAGTGTAATATTACGCTACATTACGTTTAATTTATATTACGCGTAAAATGACAACCTTAGTTATGTGCAATAACATTCAAGAACCTTGTTTACTTTCATTCCCAACTTAAATATGTTATTCCCAAATAATATCTTATAATATATATTTTATATTTTACCAACCTACGCTTATACAATTCGATACAGTGAGATTTTGATAATAAAAGCATTTTCAATTATTATGTAAACTACATAATTTAACTGGGGGAATGAAGATATAAAAGCTATGTTTAAAAAAATAATTTTTTATTATTCAATGTAAATTAGTAATTATAATAAAGGCCTATTAAAAATTTTTATAAGAAATATAATGAACATTTATTTATTATTAATTCCCTAGTAATTTTATTTAAATTTTTTATAATTTTAAATAACTTTTTAATAAATGAAATTATAATTAATTTACAGAATAATGAATTCTAAACTCAATTTAAATATACTATTATTGGGTGAGTCGGGTGTGGGAAAGACTACTTTCATCAACGCGTTGGCCAACTATTTAAGTTATAAAAACTTTTACGACGGAACCGAACAACCAATTTGCGTATTGCCTGAGAGTTTAAACCTATTTGACCATGATACGTATGAAGTTGAAAATGTCAAACTTGGAAGCACTAGTATTCAAGATACAATTGAAAGTAAAAACAAATTAGACCAAGCTTTAAAATGCCATAATTTCTCAATCAATGATTTTGAACTAAATATGATTAATACCCCGGATATTGACGATGATTGGGATGAAAAGAATGTAAAAAGTCTGCTGGAATTTATATCCGATTACCAGGAAATTAACGCTATTTGTGTGCTCATAAAGCCTAATAATACCCAGGTTGACTTGATTTTCAAGAATTGTTTGTTACAGTTGTTGAGTCACTTGAATAAGTCGGCCGTCGATAACATACTGTTCCTCTTCACCAATGCGGACACACCGGGAAACTCGGCTACAATATTAATATCTGAATTGAGTCGTGTCAGGGTAAACACTCCCGATATTGACATCAAACACAACAAGCAAACAATTTATTGCGTAAATTACGAGCCATTCACATATGCCGTGGCAGCGGCCTCGCCTAATAATATGGAGTTGACTAAAGATGTCAAAGTCGACCAGGCTATTAAATGGAAAAGGTACTAAATTTATAAATGTTATTTTAATTAAAATTTTAAAATAAACTTGAAAAATGTAACTAGATCCTATGCGGAATGCAAGCGTTTGTTGGACTATATTACTACACTTTCAAAGCTTATTGTCGAGGGAACAAAGAAACAAGAAACTCCTCAAAATGACCAGATTAAACATGGTGATAAGCAAAAAGATATAACCCTTCTATTGTTAGGTGAGTCGGGTGTGGGAAAGTCCACATTTATCAACGCATTCGTCAATTATATTAATTACGAGACTATGGATGAGGCCAGGGATGGTCAACTCAAATGTCTATTAAATGAGAAATTCTCATTAATGGACCCTGATACTTATGAACTTAAGACTATTGTCCTTCAAGCTACCAATTCAAATAAGACATCAAATAGTCCCAAATGTTATAAATATTCAACTGACAAAGTTAAGCTTGATATAATTGATACCCCGGATATTGACGAAACGGATGACGTCGATAAGAGTCATACAAATATGCGAAATAAAAGCGGCGCCAAAAGGGTTGTTAATCGTTGTATTAAAGTAACTATGGGTTAGAATTGAGCTAGATTAAAACAAAATTTTTTGCAACTATTGTTTTTTGGCACAAATATACTCGTATGCCAACTTTCCCCTAAATCTTAAGGAAACGGTAGCTACAACACATTGCTTAGATCTCAAAAACTATACAATATTTTT